CTTACCCTAACCCAAAACCTAACCAAGGCTTCACCCTAAAATTGATGGTTCCCATGGACCTCCATTATGTACCCATAAGGGAGGCAAGTCCCCACATGTGACTGTTTAAACAGATTTAGGTCCTCACAAGGATAGTAATGCTAGGTCACACACACACACACACACACACACACACACACACACACACACACACACACACACACACACACACACACACACACACACACCTGTTAATAGTGATAACTGAACTGAAAGTGCACAGCCAAGATCAACTTTTCCTTATGTTTCATTTTATGGCCTATGTGTTTTTAGATTTGGAAGATGCCAAAGACTTTACAATTGTATTCTATTATCCTTTCCTTTCTCCTCCCCCTTCTTATTACCTGCTGTTCTCCCCTCACATTCGTCTTCTCTCCCCCCCATCTCCTCTCCAGGGTTGCTCTGGCAGCATCGTGTCAGTCGGGGGCCAGATCCCCAACAACCTGGCCGTCCCGCTGCACCTCAGTGGGGTGAAGATTCTGGGGACAAGCCCCCTACAGATCGACCGCGCCGAGGAACGCTCCGTCTTCTCCCAGATACTAGATGACCTCGAGGTGGCCCAAGCTCCATGGAGGGCCCTCAGCTCCCTGGTGAGAGGAAACTAATAAATAATGGATAGTGCGGGCGTTTTATTGATTGTGGCATGATGTTTTTTTATCTGTGTTGATGAGTTTGAGTTGTTTGACCGCTCATGTGTTTTTGCAGGCTATCTGTTAGCAAGAGTAATAAAGTAAAAGGATGATTTCCCTGGGTAACAGTGACAGTGTTTGCACCAGAAAAGGATATATACTCGGGGAGCTTCGAGAATGTTAGTTCAGGGAAATTAGGTTTGCTTTTAAAAGACAATCCCATGTAGGTCATTTTTAATTTATAATTTAGATTCATGTTAATTGAATGTACTTTGAAAAAGTCTAACATTTGCATAATACACAGAGCCTATCCTTGAGATCACAGTTTTCAGCACATTTTTTATATTTCTTCTGTTCTTGGCCAAATGTCAAAGACATTTTTGATCTTCACGAGACAAACCCTTTTCGATAATATAGGAAACATATTGTATAAAAACATTCTCCTAAATGTTTTGTGATATCAATAACAATTTGAAGCCTTTCCAAATAAATGTGGACAGTTTACTTGCCCAGATATTCGGGCTGAAAAGTAGCTTTTTTTCTAAAATGTATTTTACTGTGTTAACAAAGAGGCACTTCAACATGCAAGAACAAGTAGCAATGAATAAGGGTATGTCAAAAATATATATTATTGCAGTGACTAAATCCTCAATCACTTTATAGTGCCTTCATTTTCTTCTTGTATTTTCTCCATTTATCAAAGAGCACCTGACATATCTGCGTTTGAGTATCCAAAGGACCAGTTATCTGGTTTTTCCACACATAACTTTAAGTTTAGTTACAACGTCACACCTTTCCCTACAGACAAACGTGTCGCCTTAGTGTTAGAACTTTTTCTAGGAGCATTGAGCCACACCATTTACTGTATGTTTAGCTTTTATTTCTCTGTTTGGCCCTCTCACTTAGCTGGCGGCTACATCAGAACGAGGCGCTGTCAGACCCCTCTGTGGAACATGTGGAGCACTGAAATGTCCACATCCAACACTGAAATATGTCTCCCCCATTAGCGTTGCTCCTGTATTCAGATACCGCTGAGGAGCGATTAGCCGTCACACACAGTTGTGCTCCTCTCCAGAGCCTACCTACATATTCTATTTCCCATCTTGAAGAAACAGTTTGTTTTTATTGGGCTGGAATAACTCTAGTAGAGCCGTGGGGAAAAGGTTCCTGCGTCTCTGGGAAGCTATTTTGTGTTTGGTAATGGCATCCCACCTGGCGAGGGAACAGTGGGTAATGATAGCGAGGGAGGCTCGACCTGCAGAGAGATGGAGAGGACAGAAAGAGCGATGATGATGATGATGATGATGATGATGATGATGAGGACAAACAGCCTTTTTTCTCTCCGCTACACTCCTTCCACGACGTGTACTCTTTCTTCTCTCATTCCTGTGAACTGAAAGGAAGAAAAGAAAATCAAAAGGGAGATGAATGGAAGCCACTCTTTCTGACTGTTTGAGCACTTATACTCTCCTTTTTGCTCTTTTGATAAGTCTTGTTTTTGGCAGACATTGGAGTAAGCCTTTTATTCTTGAAGCCTTTAAAATGTCTGTAGTGTAATTGTAGGGAATGGGTAAAGTGGGCCTTGCTGTATACGAGGGTTTGTTATAGGGCACACCTGTGATTTGATATTGATTCTTTGTTTTCTTTCTCAAGTGGCTGTAATCATACAGCGTTCAAACATTATATGAGAAATACACAGTTGCATATAGGTTGAAAGACTGGTGATGGATGATAAAGGTGATAATGATGATTGTCGGATTGTTTTTGCCTTACTTATTATTTGTATTATTATCTTGTATTTCTGTTTGCATCGCGTTTAATTCTTATTGTTTATCACTTCCGGCAATGGTCACGTGGGTGTGGTTTATTGGTATTTAGTCACCTGTTGGATGCCGGTTTGGAGGATATGATGTAGGAAGAGGGTGAATGGCGCTCTGATACTTTCTGTTGACCGTCAGGTCTGGAGTTGTATATTGTTTGTTTTTGTTTTATTAAACACCATGGAATACAAATGACTACGGACTCTTACATGGAACGCGTCAAAACAAAGAGCACTTTTTAGCCTCTCAGCAGCTAACTCATAGGGAGTTATTGCCGCCACAATGATGATGATGAGTGATGATGATGATGATGATGATGATGATGATGATGAAGCTTTCCTGGCCATGGAGCTACCAGATTTCTGTCCTCTGCATCATCCATGTTTACAGTTTGTTTTACTAAATACTTTTGTTTGGTTCGACACAATGCTTTTATGTTTGCTGGAATTGGTTTTCCACTTCTGTCTGTACCTCTGTCAAAGTAGATTTTGAATTAAATGTGTTTACATTTCAAACTTTTTTCAATTGCTTAAGCTTGTTCAATAGTTGTCCTGCCTTTACCTCAGTTTTTTTCCGCATTTTACTCCTTTTTTACATCTGTATGTGTCAAAGAGACAATTAGTTTAAAGCCAAGGTTTATATGCCACGTCATCAGAATTCAAATATGCAAATTCTGGAGGGTTTGTAACATCCCGCACATGCTCTATCTCAGTTAATTAGAATTATAAATACATTTCCAACATCTGCTTTGCTGTTCTCTCCCTTCCCAGGAAGATGCCCTTTCCTTCGCTGACCAGGTGGGCTATCCCTGTCTGCTGCGGCCCTCCTATGTTCTCAGGTAACTTTAACCCTTAATCATGAATGTAGTGGCTGACTCAAACAATAACCAATAATACAATACCATTTAATATAAACTGTGAGGGCAGAAAACTTTCACATCATTTGTTTTCTATTATTTATTTTTTTAGCCAGTAAAGGGTATTATGAAGTATGAACATAGTACAGTCCTTGTCGGCTGAGGCTTGAAAGAAAAATGTACTTTCTTAAGAACGAATTAACAGACTTATTGCTTACTGAGTAAAATACAATGTTAGTTATAGTGATTAATGAACTTTATTCATTTTATAGCTCGTTAACACTTGCAGTGACACTTTTGCCCAGCAGATGTCATGATGAGACCCATCATCATTCAGCAGAGTTTGGACTTCTTATGGGTTTAAATGCAAGCCTTGATGTTGTTATAAATATGAGTGTCATGCACTAGGTTTCATCAAACTACTGAAAATCAAAGTTATGTAATTCATGAAAGGAAAAATCTAGTCCTCCAGTATTAACGTATCCCACTTGATCTTAAAAATAACCACAATTATGCCATTAACAATATAGTTTATTTATATTATAGGTTGTTATAATTTGCAATTTAAATTTCCACCACCTACTGTTTATTAACCTCTGTTGGATATTTTAATGAGGACGACTCCCCTCCCCCTCCCCCATCTCTCCTCCTCAGCGTACGGTGAACTCCCTCTGATCTTTTCCACATCCCCAAAGCGTTTTCACTCTTCCCCTTTGACATAGTTGTTAATGGTTTTTGAATGTTCTCTTCAGCCTCGGTACATATGCACAAAAACACACATTTCCTCAGCGAACACTCTCTTCCTTGCCAGATTAAGGCGTCTTTTTTTTAGCAGTTAAAAGCATAGACACACACCCACACCAAAACTCACGAAGTTTGAAGAATTTAGCCTTAAAATATATTCACGTCATGTATTATTTGCATCCCAAACTCTTTCATCATTCGAATATACAAGTATATTTTCTTTGACATTCTAACACCGCCAGATTCAGCTGTGTAATGATATGCACAAGCAATCAGTTTAAACTACTTTCTATTGGTGCCAAGCAACTTTTTTAACACACTGTCTAACCATAGCTTCAACATCTGAAAAGTTTCACATTTCTTCACTGTTTACAAGTGCTGAGTGAAATTAAAATATATAGGTGTTCTGAGGAATTCCTATTGATGTCAAATCAAGCCTGTGTGGGTATGAAATAATAATCCTAAAAATCAAAATGACCTTGCTCACTTTTTGGGGGATTGGAAGATACAATGAAATCAGGATTTGGTGGTGAAAATAAAGACTATTGGGCCCATATATATATATATATAACTGTATAACATAATTCTTAAGAGACAAAACAAACCTGTCAAAGTGAAAAAACATTGTTGTTTGAAGACAAAGACAACAAAAAAAAGCTCAACACATTAAAGATAAGAAAAACTAAACTAAAAGGGAAAATAAATCCCTTGTGTCTTTTAAAAAATCACTATATATGTCTTACACTGTTTCAAAGAAGAGCCCCATCATGTCTGCTATAAGCCCCTCTTCGCCCCCAAAAGACTCGATGTTACATGGAAGGTTATTCAACCCACAACATGGCCCCAGTGTAAAGAAAACCTCCGCCTACATAATTCATTCAAGACATTTATAAATAAACGCACACTAACCCTGGTGTTATTGTTATGCTGTGTATGGACCTTTGTTATCCTAGAATATATTGACAAGCATACCTGTTGTTTATATTTTACATGATGATTCAGATTCAGTCCGGCCCTTCTGAATCAATCATTGCCAACATGAATTTGCCGCAATGCAATCTAAAAAAACAAAACATGAATATGATTATGTTGTATCAAGTTTAGCTGTCAAAACACAGAACCAACCAGACATGCATGATCCCTGTTTCCTGACACTTTTACTTCTAATAACATAAAATACAGAATGACTAATCTCTCCTAAAGAGATTATTAATTTGGACAGTCATGCAGAAACGAGGTGGCATCCGAGTTAAAGATTTGCCTGAATATCATTTCATAAGAATCTTCTGTGGCTGGTGCTCAAAGGAAGGGTCAGTAGTATTCATTTTTGGGGTTGGACATATGTCTGCCTCTGAGCCACACTCAGCTGAAGAGCAAAGATGTGACCCAAGCCGCTGGCCTTCCTCTGTCATCTTTCTCTCCTCCCCTCATTATCAAACAGGAGGATAGCCCAGCGAGCAGACTCAAATCAAAAACAACAACAAGCACAACAAAACTAGCCTAAATCTGTTGTCTTTTAATGACTCAGTTCTGAAGTTGTTTTCAAGAGCCTGGAGTGCTTTTCGACCTAAATAGCTGTTCCTCTCTCTCTCTCTCTCTCCCCCCTCTCTCTCTCGCTGCTTATTTTGACTGTTTCCAGACCTCGTTCCCGATGGTAATAGTGATGCAAGGAAGAGATAATGAGTGTTTCGAACGATCATTTGAAGCTTGTATGTTCTCCTGTTAGCTTGCTTCTCTTCCTCTCCTGTGGCCTTTTGTTTTCTCTCACTCTCTCTTCTCTCTCTCTCTCCTTCTCGCGTCTCACCAGCGGCTCGGCGATGAACGTTGTGTACGGAGAGGAGGAGATGAAACGCTTCTTGGAGGAAGCCACTCAGGTGTCCCAGGTGAGATCGGTATTAACTCATATTGCCTCCATAAGTCACACCTCGGATCTTCATTTTTCACTTGCCTTGTATTTTATTGCATTAGCTGTGAGGTTGAGTCATCACTCTCTCTGTCACACACACACACACACACACACACACACACACACACACACACACACACACACACACACACACTCATGTTTTCCTATTGTGTTCTCCCTCTGCTTTCAATTAACTGATGCTACCAGCTGTCATGGCTGTTGGTTAGTATTGTGTGTGTGTGTGCCTCTCTCTGTCACTGAAGCCCTTTTTGCTTAGGGGCACCTGGCCCCTCAAAGGGCCCCTACCTGGGAATAGAAGCACACACACACACACACACACACACACACACACACACACACACACACACACACACACACACACACACACGCCTTTATGACTGTTTTAATGCACCAAAGCAAGAATATAATGATGATTTTTTTTTTTCTTTACAAAGTTATATTAATATCATTGTGTCACATTCAACTCGTTCAACATATTCACAATGTGAATGGAAAATGGTTGGCTTATTATAACACGTAAAAGCATATAGTCTGTATACCCGAGTTATCAAAAGTTTTGACAAACAAAACAAAAAAATTAAAAATGAATGGGACCCTCTCACCCTGTCATCCACACACACCTCACGCAGGTGAACAGGTGATTATATTCACTTTCAGTGCCACCCTTAACCACGTGACCCAACTGATCCAACACATTATTGACCACAACAAAAATAATATATATATATATATATATATATATAAAAAGACCAATACCAATACCAAAGTATAACAAATCAAATATCGTATTAAATTAAACAATTTGGTTTTGGTTGTGTACTCCAGCACATCGGACCCAATGGAAATAAATGACCATCAAGTGAAGCTGATGCCTTTGGGCTTTCATTTAAGGCTGCTAATGTCCACGTCAGATTTGGTCATTTTAAAACAAACTTGTAATTGAAGGGCATCAAACATAATTTTCTCAAATTGATATACAGTAGCTGTCATAATTAAAAATGTGTGTGTCATCTCTCGCAGCAAATTAAATTAGTTTGAAATATATGACCCATTGAAATAAGAAAGCTTTCGTTAAGGTGTTTCTTCTTCAAACAATTATTTTACCAATGTTTCAAAGCAAGGAATTGTATGGATTGGGGTCAGGTAACAATAATTTAATTATGGAATGCTAAAAAGAACCCCTCATTGATCGCTTCAGCTGAGCAACGCATACTTGTTCCTGTATTCATGCAAAAAGCTTCTAATAAAAGTTTACTTTACTTTTTCAAGAGTTATTTTTCCTCTTCATTCATTGATCACTAACCATCTTGTTGTCTTTCCTCTAGGAGCATCCAGTGGTCATCACCAAATTCATCTGTGGTGCCAGGGAGGTGGAGATGGACGCTGTGGCCAGAGACGGCAAGGTAACGCTTTACTGTAGGATCTGTGTCGCCATAGGAGCTTTTGCCTGATTCTGCTTATTGGAGTGGTGCCATCCCATTAATGCAAGATGCTGTGCTAATGCAGGTTAAATATACAACATGCCCCAGACATATAATTATTGTCTGCCTGCAATAATTACTCCTGGCATCAAAAGATACGTATATAGGCGTGTGGTTTTATTTAGAATATGCTTGTTGGGAGAGTCTGCATCTTCTTTGTAAGTTAACATAATGCAAAGTGTAACGGCGTGGAAAACAACCTTATTTGTGGTCTGCTTTGATTCATATTGACACCGTGTTTAACCAAATTTTCGTTAACAACAGTATTGTTATTCATCTGTAGCCTTGCATTATTCAGTGCTCCATTATTTTTCAGTTTAAATGGAGAGGTATTGAGCCCAGAAGATGAATAAAGTGGAAGTAATCTAATTTATCTTCAGTGAAAAGACATTACAGCACAGACAGATAGGATTGGGAGAATGGAATACACTAAAAACAAAATGCTGGATAGTGGTGATACTCAATTAATTTTTCTTTTTAGATTAGATCAGTTTTAAAGCATTTTGAAATGATTCTTGTTCAACAAACTGGTTTTATCTGATTGACATGCATCACAGGTTTGTCATTTTCTTTTTGCTCAAAGTATTATTCTGCTCTGCTCTAAACATGTACATATGCTACAATATAGTTTCAGAATCATTAGAATATAAAATAAATCAACATTGGGAACAGTCTTTTAAATTTCATAACATTTGGAAATTGGTACATATATATATATTTTTTTTAGGGCCGGGACTCGATTAAAAAAATTAATCTAATTAATTACAGGCTTTGTAATTAATTAATCGCATTTTTAATCACATATAAATATTTGACCTGAGAACAGTGAGAAGCAATTTTTTTCACATGGATTTTAGTATACCATTGAATAATGACTGAATACATAAGCTTAAGCAACAAAACATTGTTTATTTTTTTCAAGGATGTACTTAACCAAGACCAACAGAAAAGTGCAATTTTTGCCATAAAGTGGAGCAATAGCATATTTAGGAATATAGTACATTTCAGAGATTCAGGTAGCCTATAGGTAGGTAGACCTTCTGTAAACTATAACACTTTGTTTTTTAAGTATAACACAATACTTTCAAGTACATTCAGAACATTGGAAACCCTGACTATTAGAAAACATCTCTCTGTTGCTTCAGAGGCCATAACAGACTTTGTTGATTTACCAACAGTTGATTTAAAAAATCTAATAAATTTCAGTCCAACTCTCTCAATAACCTTGGCCAAAACAATAAACAGTTCAACATAAAGTGCCAGTTGCACCAACAAC